ATGTAGTGCTAGTAATTCTTGGCTGCACTGAAAAAGTTCATTTGCTAAGATTGCTCCAGTCTGTACGTATACTGACATATACATAAGCTGATTGTCGCTTTCCAACTATGTATTTCTCTTGCTTTATTATATATATTTATATATACATACATTTGAAATTTAATTAACTCAAACTTTAAGTCATTAAATAAAAGCAAACAAATGAATAAGCAAAATAATTAATTTAAAATTGAAGTAATTTGAAAATTAGATTTATTTATTCATGCAATTTAGTTAATCCAGATCTCTCTTAAATAGATGATTGCATAATTATTATGCCTATATTTTAATTGCAACTGATGTAGTGGGAAAACAAGAAAAAATTAATGCACTTATGGCAGTGGTGGGATTTAGCCAGTTCGCACCACTTCGGCAGAACCGGTAGCTAATTTTTTGTTGCCCATTGAATACAATGATGTGCCATGCAATGCAGCCAATCAACTTTGTAAAAGAGGGCAAATGAAGTGTATTCATTTCTCACACTCTGAACGAGTATTTGGATCTGTTTCTTCTACTAAGCTGCTTTTCCATTTATACTCAAAGATTGAAAATTGAAGCCGACTAGTTACACTAAAGAAGTACTTTGGTTTAAAAGCAGCATAACAACATAGGCACCCAATAGAAACAGACTAATAATACAATTTCACTTAGGTTTAGAGGGTATGATTTCAATACTCTATATCCTTCACTAAAAATAAATGCCATTGAATTCTTTAAATTATTGTCTGTTTGAACTCTTTGAACAATTGCTGGTCAATTGTTTGGAACACCCTACATTTTAACAAAATAACACTTGCCAGCCCAAATGAATACACTTACAAAAACTTTTCCAACAAAAGCGTTACTATTTAAAGACTATAAAGACTTGCTATCATCTCATCCACTTGTCAAAGCAAAGACATTTTCTACTTCCCTGGTATTCTAGCAGACAATATTATTGTTTCTGGCCTTGTGAGCTTCCTCCACCCCATCATTGAAATTTGTTCCCTTTCAATTCTTCTATTCCTATACTTTGAAGCAATTAAGAACAGTTTCCTGTAGCAGCCCTTCAGATATTTGATGGCAGCTATATCTCCCCTTAAGTTACTTTTCTGCTTGTTAACCATGCTCAGCCCCAGGATTATTCATGGGGAAGGGGTGTGTGAAAAAATCAAACTAGCAGCTGCAACTTTAAGATTGAAGCCTCCCCCATGGATAGCACTATGCATAACAGATACTGCTCTTCAGTCATGCAGACATCCTATCCAGGTTCTTCCCTAAAATCCTTCTTGGTGTAGATTGTTCACCATGCTATACATCCTTTTCAGAACACATTAATTTTATCAATATCAATCTTAAAATATGTGGGCAAAACTGGTTCTAGTACCCAAAACAAGAAGAGATTGGAAGCCTACACAGAAATGGAATGTACTTATTTATAGTATTTATGCTTTCTTTTCATTGTAATTCTGGTAGCCCCCCCCCAATGGAAGAAAGGATGCAAAACACAATTTAAATAATCAAATCAATAGCATATAACATTTCCAAAACATAAAATTAAAGTATCTTAAAACTGTGGTGGTGGGGGGGGGGAAATGCAGTGTGGTATAAACTGAACTATTTTCAAGGATTTAAATATCTATTCATTCTTGAAAAGAATTAGCAGCAGATCTGAAGGATCCACTTCTGCTTTCTATTTACATAGATACAGATTCACATTTCTAGTGTACCATCTCAGCATCATGGAAGGAAGGAAGAAGGAAGGAAGGATTACACACACCACATTCAAAAGCACTTGAATAAGAGCAGCTGCATTTAGAAGAATGACTGGCAACTCTGTCACCAGATTGCTCTTTATATAGTGTGAGAGGTATAAAAAGATTTAGTTGGAAGCCAGTATGATGAAAATTGCTACTTTAATCAACTCAATAGAAGGCAAGTCTTGGATTTCAACTTAGAAGTGGGAGACCTAAGTTTAAACATATACCCCTGAGCTAAGAAAGTCATTGGATAATGGCAAGATCATCAGTATACTTCAACCTAATGTCTCATCATCTGTAATGGTATGTGGGAATGACCTTGAGAGATGGGGGAGAAATGTCACAGTCAGGGGAGCAATCAGATAAGAAGCAGCTTAGCCAGCAGAAGGAAGATGGGTGTGGTATCAACATCTCAGAAGGGGATCTCTCTAGGCTGCAAAAGGCAACTGGGAAAAAATGTACTTTTAGACTTGTAAGTTTCTGTTAATGTAACCATACAACAAAGTAGAAGTAGTCCATCTAGATTTGCTTCCTGTCTGGACTTCCTCACAAGGCTGACATTACCTGAGATTATATGATCGCTAGGGCCCAAATATATTGTTCATCCTGATTGATCTCAGCAGCTATCTAAAGCAGCGACTCCCAACCTTTTGGGCGCCAGGAACCAGTTCCATATAGGTTGATTTTTTTGCAGACCATGTGGGGGATGGAGGAAGGTTTCACACACTGCCTAGATCAGGGGTCTTCAAACTTGGCCCTTTTATGACTTGTGGACTTCAACTCCCAGAATTCCTCAGCCAGAATTCTGGGACTTGTGGACTTCAACTCCCAGAATTCTGGCTGAGGAATTCTGGGAGTTGAAGTTCACAAGTCATAAAAGGGCCAAGTTTGAAGACCCCTGGCCTAGATCCTGTGTGTGCGTGGATGGGTCTTTGCTCACTTGTGAGGACCAGGGTTTGGGAACACCTGATCTAAAGAACAATTTTGAAAGCAGGTAAACATAAAGACTCCCTTAATTTGAGTTTGACTCCTGGTGATCACACTGACATTTATACAGAAATGGTTTGCAAAGTCTTCTTAGATCTGACCCTGTTTATCTTTTTGAAAGCAGTCACTGTTGATTAGGCACCAGATGTTCTTCTCAATTTCCCAGCACTAAATTAGAGTCTTGGGATTCCCTGGTGTCTCTCATGGAAGCACTAACTACTTAGTCTGACACTGCTTTTAAGGATCAACTAAAGTTGATTTGGAAAGCAAAATGATTATTTCTCAAAGAAGCAGGAGAATTGGGACGGGGGCCTATACTGAGTCCCAGGGATTGCAATAACAATATGTCTGGTGGTCACCTCAGAGAACAGGCAGAGTTTCATCACTCTCAGCTTTGGTTTCCCACTCCTCTTATGAACTGAGACTTGACTCCTTATAGTATGACTTACCTTGTCATTTTCTGAGCTTGGTGATGATGTCCAAATTAGGCCACTTCCCAGTTTGGCTCTGAATATGCTACAGATTATCTCTCATCACACAATAATTAATCATAGAACTTTCACACGTCCATCACATGATTCCCAGGCAAACAATGTGATGCTGACAAACCTCAATATTATATAGACACCTTCCAGCAGGCTCCCTGTCCTAAATTGCTCTTTCTCTCTCTTTTTTTAAAAAAGGACTTTTTTATAACTTTAGGAATAAAATGAATTCAATTTAAAAATAAACAACGGGGAATCTAAAATGCTGTCAAACAAAGTCAATATCTGATAAAGAAAAAACAAAAACAGTGCAATTCTGGTGCAGCT